AAGTAGACGTGAAATTTTCTTTGTGTGGACCTCCATGACATCGTTGTAGCATTTCTTGCGAAGGTTCGTCATAAAACGTAGTATACACATATAAGTTATATCGGTACATACACCTTGTATCTCATCGTAGATCTCGTTGATTTGACGTTTGAGGGTTAAGTTGTAGGCGATCTTTTGTTTAATCTCTTCGTCCAAAACATTTCTACTGTAATTTTCGCTGGACTGYTTCCATTTCTGTTCTTTATCACGGTCAACTCTAGCAAATGTTGGTGTTAAACCAAAGTTCTGGCAGAGTGTGAGAAACTCGATCGCACCAGCGCATTTGATTTGTTTTTTACTACATTGCTCCAATCTCCRAAACAAATGTAGTTGGTCTTTCCGTTTAAGTATCTTGAYCAGCTGTAATTAATTTGATTGAACTTTAGTATTAAAAGTAAATAAACAAAGCATAAAGGAGTTTGATGTGAATCTTCTTCTGTTATGACAAAATAATAAATAATTATAACATCTTGCATTCAATATTTACATTCAAAAGCAATTTAGCAATGCACAAACTGCTTTATGATCAGAAAAATAAGTCTCTAAAACTTGAAATGCTATTTGTGATTCTGGTAAGTTGGTATATATATGATCAATACAAGTATTGCTATCTGTTGTACTGCATGTAACTAACTGTCTATAACCATTGTCTCTGATAAAGAAATCATAGAGTACCTTCCGCTTCGAATCATTAAACCAATTGGCATTGAAATCTCCAATAAATAATAATTTTTATATGAGGAATGATCATGAATCTTAATATTGYTATTTCTACACCATTTCTGTTCTCACAATATGGGTAGCCAGGGTAATAGTCCAGGCGACTGTAAATTGCTGTGCCTCCAAAGGGACGAATATTTTGTKGATGTCTCGKAGYATCATATTTGTCATCAGTCATCAAATATAAATCATTATTGTCATGTTCAAAAAATCTTGTTTCTGCAAAAATATTAACATCTGTATTTGTATAATTCACATCTGTGCAAATATCCTTGATGTGCTTGTGTAATGATCTTGCATTAAGATAACAGATTTTCAAAGTATTTTGAGGTGTACAATATACTGGTTTAACTGAAAGAGTTAACTGCCCTTCAGTTCTTAAACGATGCATTTCTGCTTGGACATCATTACTTACAGCTATTTTGTCTTCACAGAGATCTGTGACATAAAGACCATMTATAGTTGTTACTCTACTCAATCCTACATAATGTATGTGAGGAATTGCTCTCCTTGTTTCAAAATTAACTACAACCTTTGTTTCAGTATCACCTTGTGATCTATGTATAGTTTTTGCAGCAGCAGGTCGTAATGGAAATTGCTTCCTTACAATCTGCACAGATGTTGTTCTGCCAACAGCAAACTGGGTAGTAACAGGTTTAATTGGTGTCCATGTTGGTTCAATACCATTGACATATAGCTGTCTATTATCATGCCTGGTCGTTTGACCTACATCAGAATGGKCAAACTGTACCCATATGATACCTGATGGTTTGTCTGTTTGATGTACTTGTATTAGTTTGATAACATTAGTAGCACCATTAGTCATACCATCATCAGTCCTAGTATTAAGAGATATCTCTGTTTTCTCCTACTGCTACATGTAGTACAGAATGCAACTGTTTTCCTTGGATCACTAGGTACTTGTTTTAGTATTTTATCTCTAAGTTCCTGCGACTCAGCTCCAACTACACTGTCATGAGCTTTAATAGAATACTTGGTACCTGATRATGCATTGTGAGCTTTGTCATTGAAATTATTCACTTTTGCATTTTGATTGAATAAATGTGGAGCATCTTTTGGATAGTTTTGACTAGTTTCAGAAATACATCTAGTCTTTAATTTTGCAATGTCTTCTTTAGTGTGATTACCTTCTCTTAATCTATTCAATAATTCAGCAAACTTTTTGCAAACTCTTTGTCTCATTATTTGTTTGAGTTCAAACATTTTAAAAAGTTCTTTCCATACATTAGGTGCAAGAACACCATACTCATCATTATCCATGTCTTTAAATATATAACTATCCATTACAGGTTGAAGTTGGAATAAATCTCCTATAGCAACAATACTAACACCACCGAAACGCAGCGAGCTGCCCTTGATGTCTTTTAGTCTATTATATATTTGGACAGTGAACATTGTATTCCCTACCATGGATATTTCATCAATAAATATAAGTTTAATCCCACCAAGCTGACATCTTATTGTATTCATTCTGCTTGAATCAAGACTTTTATATCTCCTTAATGACTGACAGGCTGGTATTGCTAGAGCACTATGAATAGTATTGCCCTTAATGTTATATGCTGCTTYACCAGTAGGTGCTAGCATTAATACTTTTACTTCATTAAAGTTAATACCTGGTCTGGTGTTATAGTATTTTAAAGCAGCTTGATGCAAGGCTTTAGTAACATGTGATTTGCCTACACCTGCACCACCACTTAGGAAACAGTAAAATGCTTCTTCTGATGTTTTTATGAGATGCAGTACATGATAGAAAAATTCTTTTTGCTCCTTGTTCAATGTCTGTACCATATGTCTATATTCATTGTCTGGCAGTTCATTCATAGTAAGTGGTTCAGTATTATCAACTGATGGTATACCTAAATCATCTGATAGATTATAGTTCACTGTAAAATCAGGATGCAAGTCCTGATTACCTTCTGCTTGATCCTGTTGTTCAATACTTTGTGTATTAGGTGCTATTTCATCATACCTATCCTCTATTCTACTCATATCCTGCTGCATTTCATTAAAGTCTTCATTACAAACAGCATATTGCTTCATTTGTTCTTTGATCATATTGGAGACAGACATACATCGGTCTTGAAATGATGAAAAATTTCCAATTAAGTCAGTCTCCTCATTTCTCCATGGTGTAAAGAGCATCAAGAGCTCGCGATAATGTTTTYCTGGTTCAGTTTGCACATTAAACCATACACTTCTTATTATCCTAGCTTTAGTTCTTTTTTTAGTAGTCTTTGAATTTGATGTATTTGAGCATTCATCATCATCCTCATTTTGATTATCATCTATAAATTTTTCCAAGGGAAGGCCATCAATGTCCACTCCATTTGTTTCTTTTACATATGGTTTCATATTAGACTTATCATACCATGCAGCCCAGTCTGCCAGTGTCAAATTCTCAWGTTTTTTGGGACGTGTACAATATCTTTTGAGCAAACCACTAGTATAGATTTCTTCACTGTCATCCTCCATATTTTKAATGTCATCTAATGGTTTTAAAAGCTCCACCCTTTCATCAGGAGGTGAAGTATTTATAAATATAATTTGCCTGGATGCTTTCCTCATGGATAATTGTAGGACAATATACACTGCTTCTTGTGCACTTATTTCAACATTATTAAGAMACKTACTTCCAATATCTCTAACTTGTTGTTTTATGTTATTATTTCCTTGTCTGGCTTCAGTGCAAGCTTGTCGCAATAGTTCACTCATACCTTTTTGACCTTTAGATATGTAATTTACTATATATACTGCACATGCATACACATCTAATACAAACTGTATATCCATGTTAGCTCTCCATGCAGTAAGGCAGGCAGGATTATAATTGTTTATACGGACTTCATTTGGATTTCTTTTCAGAAGCACTGTAGGAGTATTTAAAGAGGAACTGATWGCAAGTAAATAGTTTTCTTCTGTAATGTTCAAGTTAACCAATAACTCATCAATTGACATACTTTCATCTTCTTTCAGGTCATTCAAATAGCTTTTAATAGATTTCCAAGTATTTTTATGCATTTTAGTTTCACTGTCTGATGTTTCTTTGTCCAGAGGATGTATTATCATGGTTTGCCTCATTGGAGGTTGTGGATAATTGAATCTACAAGGACTGCTGGTATTCTTGCGACATGTATGTGAATGTCTATGTATTTGTCTATTAACAAGATTCAATAAATCTGGATTATCTACTGGTTTATGGCAGGAGATGATTTTATCAATAAATGATGTTATTTTTCTACCACTATCGACTTGAAACTGTGGAGCTCCTTCAAGCCATATTAACATGTGAATATGGGGAGATCCTCTTYGTTGATATTCAACTCTATAAAACCAGTCAGATATTTTACCTAATGGTTCAGCAGAACTCAAAAGAAAGTTTGTCAGAAATTGATTTACTTGATAATCAAAATGCCTGGCACATGTTACAGGGTCACTTTGAATTAACCAGCATCGATCCTCCCAGTTAAAATTCTCTATTTGTTCATCAGTATATTGCTTCTTATCAACTAGTTCTCCAAGGATTCTAAGTAAGTGTAACCACTGAGTTTCAGCTGATGAGTAGCTACAAAATAATGTGGCAGGACCCAGCTGTCTTATCATGGCAAATAAATCCCTTTTAGCCTTTTCAAAATATGGAAGTGAACCTCTCAATGCATTTAGAAATTTATACCCTTCATCATGACGGATTAATCTGTCTAAAGCTCCTTGCGACTTTAATTGCCCTGCATTRATATTTTTATTATTTCCTTTGCATTTTCTGAGAGCAATATGTGATTTTCCTAAAAGGATTTTCATTTGCAGCTTCTTGGTTTTATAGAAAATATTTTCAATGGACATGGCAGCTCGTCTATCTGATCGTCCTAGTTCTGACTTACAAATATCACTATAAGTAACTTTGACTTTTCGCTGTTTGATTTCTGGTCGTGCTTGTCCAAGAAATATTCCAGGATATGCTAACTCCTCACAATACTTATCTCTAAAGACACTCAATGGTCTATTACCTTCAGCTGGAGCAATATTTAGAATATTTTGTCGTTCATTATCTTCTAAAAAGTCTGTTGCASTAAACAAAGTATCAGTTACACCTGCAGGTAATTCAACTTGGTCTTCATTTAATTCATCATTATCATCTAAGTTCACATGGGTGGTATCAGTGGAGACATTTTCATTGTGTAGCTTCAATACTGTATTTGTTAATCCAATCACTATCAAATACTATCCCTTCATCTCTGTATAAACTGCTATTACTCAATAACCATTTTGCTGCTTGGATGACCTTGTGTGGTCTTATATTTAATGATAATGCTGAACTTTTATTYTCTTTAAATTGACTTTGATAGTAGCTGTCTGGCTCTGTAACCGTGGCAACATGCTTATTGTGTGAGTCACATCGGCAGGTACATTTACAATATTGCCATGTATTTTTAGCTGTCTACCTCTAGGAGCTTGCATTGGCTTTTGAAATGCAATCCTTGGTGCAAGTAATCGACATTCTAATTCATTCATTCAAGTCAAAGAAATCTGGTTTTACTGGAAAAGACATACCATTAGCTATAGCACATGGTGGAACCTTGTTTTTTATCAAATGATTCTTGCAAGTGCTACAAATTCATTCTTTGTCATCAACATTACCCTTATTACACAGATATTTTGTGATATCAGGATTGGATTGTCTAAGTTTGTCTGTATTAGAGTTTTGCGATTTAGCGTCTTTAAGGCCGATTTGGCACTATTAGTGCCACGCTAGTACCACTGTTCAATAAGACGATATCCTGACTCCAGATTTATTTATTCTGACCCGAGGTTTAGTGAATAATGTGTTTATTATGTGTTAGTCTTATCTAAATCATGCTCGAAATTTRAAAACAGATAATTATATAAAAATTCAATCACTTCCAGTCACTGATTGCCCTAGCTTGTGTATGTTAAAGTGCATTAGTGCGTGAAACACTGCACATTGAAGTTTTCGTACATGAAAATGTGCAGTCTGTAATACCCTGCATTGCCAACAATCATGACTGCGAGACAAATATCGCCTGAAGTAATGTGTCGCTGCGCYGTGCTTTACGGCAGGTGTAAGGCTCAAGATCTTGGCAATGTATTATTTTATGACAGGGGAGATGCGAAACGGGGCGCACAAAGTGACACAGCATGCAGGCAACATGAGCAATAATAATAATAACAACAACATATTTATAACAACATATTTAACGAAAACGTTTATTTGCCACATACAAATTTGGACATTGAAAAGATATTATCATATCTTTATGTCCTGCTGTTTTCTTTTCAAGTGTGTAGGTATGTATATTAGAAATACAATAGAAGTTTGCATTCTGAGAGGCTTCTACTGTTCGTCCGGATCCGATGAGCTGCTGGATGCAAACAAATTAGACTTCGACCATTTTTTTAGAGCTTTCGTATGCTCTCGAGCAGCCGTTTGTGCGTCGTTGATAAGCCCTGGAAGGGATGAAAGCAAATCACTCATTGCCGCTCTGTTTKATTTTTGAGGTCTGAAGGAAAAAAATAAATAAAATCGAGAYTACTTAGTRTGATTTTTGATATGCATACAATTTTAAGTTATACCGTACACATATCTCTAATATTTTGACTAYATATGCAGGTTTTATCTTATGGGGGCTAGATTAATATACAAAMTTTAGTAATTTCAATTCGTGTACTGCGTATGTTTGGATGCACAAATTATGTTTCACCTTTTTCTTTTCCTTGAGGTAGAAGCAGACGCATCAGGGCTTCCCAATAAAGATTCTGACTTGAGATGGTTAACTATTGACTGACGGCTGCTCTGTTGGCTGTGCATATTATTGAGCGCATCTTCAGCGGACGCATCTGCATCAACGCAGAATYTTTTGTCGTTTTCGTCAATGTCTTTTTGAATCGACTTAAAACTTTCTTCCTCTTCACTTGCTTCGCTTTTACTCAAATATTCGTCCTCGACGCTTGTTTTGGAACCACCATGAGTATCATTCCTGTGGATAAAAAGTGAATAACGCAACTGATTGAAACCGCTCAAACACGTGTATTTCTGCTGAAAAGTCCAAATGTTCTCTGTTTAGATAACTTACCCTGAATCAAGCAACTTTTTTACGCGTTTTCTGACTCTTTCAGTTGCTTTCTTAAAGCTACAAGTGCCTAGCTGCCCAGCAKCTCGATAAAACTTTTCCAATTCGTTGTCCATCACCTCCGCGTTTCTTTGCATAAATAGGACAATCGCTTTGTAATCCTTTTTGAAATCCTTAATTGCTTTTTGCTGCATTAGGTCTTCGACAGGGGTTGCCCGAAGGYGAGAAGCTTTCTGTTTCGACATACCGGCTCAGAATTCGAGCTACTATGYATTAATCGTCTTGCACGCTGACAATTGATTACTTTGCACGTGCAAAGTGCAAGATCATCAGTAGGTGATRCATATCTGAATAAATTAAATACTTTGGAAATAACCAGTAATGAAGAAAGCACTATTTTTGGCGCTRTTTCCACAAACTAYAACTCCACAAAAATATTTTGCCGGTTGTATATGCTCAGCACTCTTTTAATATACCAAGACCATTCTGAATATTATTATGTTATTTGACGAATAGGTACGTTTCCTTGACAACCATTTTCATGGTAAGGCAAAATCATCCAATTAAATATGTGTTGCCAGCATATCGCTTTTGTTAAGCACGTGTGCATGAATTCAGTCAAACCTTTACTGAGTTATTGTATACATTGAATAATGGATCCTCCGCCTTTTCCAGCTTTTCTCTCAATATTACCACTGGTTCTTGTCAACSTACTGATGTTATGCGCTGACAACTTTGCCATGCCTCCCCCTCCTCCTTGTGCAGTGTTTTTGACTCAAACAATAATCATCCTGATGACAATTAGTGACCCGCTAGAAAACCAGCCTTTAATTGCAAGACTTTTTCCTGGTTTAGTACCTCGTAGAAATTCTGGTCGAGATGTGTGGACAATGCTTGAAGTAGACCCTCGCAATTTCTGGTATCTCACAGGAGAAACCCCAGGATCACTCGAGCAAATAGTGCGACATGTTGCAGCAGATGTTTTGAGGGCCCGGCTTTTGCCTCATCAGCCAGCCACTCAAAGGCAGCGTTCGTGCCTTTTAGACGTTCGAAATCGCGTTCTCTTAGTCATCATTTGGTTACGACAATATCATCATTATCACGTTCTGGCAAGCTTATTCCATATTAGTACAAGTACAGTAGCTGAAGAAATATACCATATCGTACCGATTCTCTTCCTTACCTACCGTCATCTCATAAGTTGGCACAGCCTTCAACGCTGGAGCATGTTTTTAGG